TAGGCCCTCTCCGACACCTTGGGCGTGCGAATGCATCAAGCGTATGCGTAATGCGTGAGGCGTAACCCCCGTCGGCCACCACTTCTCACTCGAATCCGGAATGCGTGTGCGTAGTACGTGGGGCGTAGCGCGCCTTGAGAGGCACACCCCGATCGGCCGAAGGTGGATGCAGAAGACAGATTCGTAATACGCAAGACATTTGTAGCTCCCTCAGGCGCCACTTGGCTCGGGCACGACACCGAAATACGCGACGTCTGGCCGACGCACTATGGATCGCGGGCGCGTATTTACATTTACATGGCCGATCTGTGCATTCTGGGCGATTACATATGCGTAGCAGTACTGACGACCTCCCGGTGGGCGGCGGCGACGGACGGTGTCCAGCTGCGCGAGAAGGCGTTGCCTCGTCGTGCCCCTGCAGCGCCACCGTCTTCTTGGCGATGCGCTCACGCTGCGCGCGCCACGCCTCCTCCTCGCGCGCCCGTTTGCGCTGCCGCTCGGCTTCCTCCTCGGCCGCGAGTTCCTGCCATCTCGTCGCGTTGCACTCGACCTCGCCCTTCCTTCTCGGAATGCGGTAGAGGAGGGGCTCGCCACTCGCCCCGACGCGAGCGGTACCGCCGGCCGCGCCGCCATTCGCGCCGCCCGCAAAGGAAGCAGCGCAGCCGCCAGCAGCGCCGCACGCGACGCCCGCAAAGGAAGCAGCGCAGCCGCCAGCAGCGCCACACGCGACATAGCCCCCAGCGTAGCTCGCGGCAGCGCAGCAGGAATGAAGGGTGGAGTCGTCCCGGATGCTCTTAGAGAGGCTGATACCGGTACGACAAGGACAGCGACAGAATGGCGTTGCGTCACAGGAGGAGCAGTGGCGGCAGCAGAGGGCAGAGACGGCAGAGGCAGGGGCGGCGGCTGCGGAGGTGGAGGGGGCGGAGGAGGTCGGGGCAAAGGCGGAGGCACAGGTGGGCTGCTGCTCAGGCTGCTGCTCAGGCTGCTGCTCGGGCTGCTGCTCGGGCTGCTGCTCGGGCTGCTGCTCGGGCTGCTGCTCGGGCTGCTGCTCGGGCTGCTGCTCGGGCTGCTGCTCGGGCTGCTGCGAGGGCTGCTGCGAGGGCTGCTGCGAGGGCTGCTGCGAGGGCTGCTGCGAGGGCTGCTGCTCGGGCTGCTGCTCGGGCTGCTGCTCGGGCTGCTGCTCGGGCTGCTGCTCGGGCTGCTGCTCGGGCTGCTGCGAGGCGAGCCTTGTGCCTGGAGGTCGGGCCGTGGCAGCAGCAGGAGGCTCGAGGACCAGGCTGTCGCGTCGCGGCGGCCGGCCGGGAGAGCTCTGTTGGGGTTGGCGCTGGTCTAGGGCACCAGAGCGTCGTCCATCAGAGCGTGGCCCACCGGCCGGCAGCGCGTGTACCGAGCTGAAGTCCGTGCGACTGGTGCCTTCGGCAGCGGCCGCGGGCGGCTGCAGCCGCTGAGGATCTCCAGGTCGGCTCCCACGGTGGCAGCCGCCAAGGGCAGCCACCATCGTGGGGACGCGCGAAACTTGTACCGAAGAAGAATAACCAGCGCGTAGCCCGATCCCGATCACCCGGCCCGCTGGATGCGCTTCTCAGCTCACCGGCCCTGGATGTGAGGCTACCGACTGCACTCCAAGTGCTCCAAGTGCGCGGACCGCCGCAAGCGGCGTGGCGTGGAGCGGTTGTGCATCCCTCCGGGGGGCCCTCTGCGCCGGGGAGGCGTTGTTGGAGGCTAGGGCGTCTCAGAGAAGAAAAACACCGCGAAGTGCTCAGGCGCGGACATTTGGATCTACTCTCGATCGCCCCACTTGCTCTTTCTCGGCCTCGCCTCTGCGGGCGGCGCCGCGGCGGCGGGCGGCGCGAGCGTGCCACCCGAGCTGAAGCTCACAGGCGCACCTAGCGCGCAAAAGACACCACAGTCAGAGAGCGTGAGAATGCGGGAGCGTGCAATGGGAGTGCACAGACAAGGGCTACTGAATGCAGCGGCTGGTGTGCGGGGCGACAGGAGTCCGCTGCTTCCTTCTCGAGGGGTGGGGTGCGCCTTGCTTGCGCGACTGCCTCTCCTCCCACTCGCGCCTCCGCGCCTCGATCCTAGAAGGGGAGGGGGGAGGGGGGGAGGGGAGGGGAGGTGAGGCGGCGCGTGGTGTGCGGCGCGCTGGGGTGGGGGGCGTGTGGGGGCAGCGTGGCTCGCGATGTCGGCGCATCTCCCGCCGGGTCGGCGCCTCTCGTAGTTATCCTCCTTTGTGAGCTCCGCGGGGTCGTATACGGCGGGAGGGTAGTTTGTGCCCGCCTCTCGCACCTGGTCCAGGAGGGGAAGGGCCGGTGCACGTGGGTGAGCGCTGGTGTGTGCGTGTGTGTGTGTGTGAGCGTGTGTGTGTGTGTGTGTGTGTGTGTGTGTGTGTGTGTGCGTGTGTGTGTGTGAGCGTGTGGGTGTGTGTGTGTGTGTGTGTGTGTGTGTGTGTGTGTGTGTGCGTGTGTGTGCGTGTGCGTGTGTGTGTGTGTTGTGTTGCAGTGTCCATCGCCTGCCACTCTGTGCTGTGTCTACGACGGACGGTCGTCGCGCCCATGAACGTACTCACGAGCTTCTC